TTATAAGCTAAAATACTGAAGTATCATAGAAGACCAGCGTCGTAATATCAATCAAATCTGTAACTTTCAATAAAAATACTACAATATTGTGAATAAAACATACAGAAATCAGAATAGACATTAACAATTGGTCAGATTTTTAATTGAACAGTTTCCTGTAGCAGTAAAGAGAAGAGCGAAGTAGGACTCGTAAAATGTCAAAAAGATCTGTTACTGTTTTCTAATATACAGTATTCCTCAACCAACACTGAAGGGCAAGTCCACAGAAAAGGAAACCGTGGAGAATTTCAGATTTGCAAGATACTGTATTTTGCTAGTCCTTTCACAGTATAGATCGTTTTATACATAATTCCCTCTAGAAAATAGTCACACATAGTAATACTTTCAAATATAGCACAAAGCATCGGGTTTCAGCACTTTTTCAATTGAAAGTTTAAAGCAATAGTGTATCTAACATAAAATGTGGAAACTAGATCTATAAACCTGGAAGTATGTAGCTGTAGATGAATTTCACTACAAAACGCAGAAAACAAATTACTAAATATTCTTGATACGATTTTAAAACAAAATAACGTAAGTGAACATTCTACCACATGATTAGTGAAAACTTCTATTTCCTTTGTATTCTTCACTTTTTAAAATAAATTGCCGGTGAAAACAGTTAAATGAAGGAGCAAATGTTATTAAATTTACACAGCTTGATTCTATTAATGGAATAGATTTGTAGATTAAATATTTTGCTACAAAATTAAAAAAGATTGAAGATTTAATAAGTTAATATAATACAATACAAACAAAATGCTATTTTACTATAAATGTAGATTTATACAATTCCTACAAGGAATGTGAAGTGAAATTTAATTATCAATAAAACTACATATTGTGTCCAGCACATTAATAACAGCCCAGCAATAGCACAGTGTTCGTGTCAGATTGGTATTTAAAGACAATTAGAAATAACCATCTTTTATTCACAGTGGCCACAAATATATAATAATAATAATCCTTGCATTTGATATAGCGCTTTTCATGTCTTCCCGACATCTCAAAGCGCTTCACAGAATAAAGTGAATTGCCTGTATATTTATGGGCGAAATGCGGCAGCCAATTGTGCACAGCAGTGTCCCACAAACAGTTGTAGATTGAAAATCACCAATTTATTATTGTTTTGTTTTGGAGGGATTATTATTAGGTGTGTGGAGTAAGGAAACTTGCCCAAGGTTTCGCCCTCTGCCTGGAATTGAACTCAGATCTCTCACTTGCAAAGCGAGTGCTCTAACCACTGAGCTACAGGACTCCACAGATATATTCACCTGGTGAGAACTTAAATAAAAAGTTTAAACAGTTGACAAATAACTGGACTGGTTTTACATTAACGTAAATGAACTCTTCTATTATTGAATATTTAAGTCATTCAGACCCATGCAATGCTCCACTTTGAGTACCAAAAGTACAAAACATTTGCTGTTGTCACTGCTTTCCTCCAGGCATGTTTGATATGGTGCCTATTACATTTGGGTGTAATTGAGCGATAAAATGAAGAGGAAGATAATAAACAAGCGTGGTGAATAATTCCATAAAATGAAGAAAGTTGATTAAGATGACAAGGTGATGTTAAAAAAAGTTCAAAAAACATGATTCTTTTGAGATTTTAACTAAGTATTTGTAAAGCAACTTTATAAAGAATTGTATTTATCTGGATGAGAATATATGCATGCCAAGAACCAAGATTCGTGGAAGAGAAACACACTTAGTATTTGGTAAAATCATTTGAGAGATAGGTTCAGGCCATTTTAAGAATATAAGAATGCATGAAAAGGCCATTCACAGTCTAATGCAAAACCTCCCATATTATGGGCCTCGCCCACATCCATTCTGTTCTCAGTTCTGCACAGATCAGCCCCGTCCCACCCAGTGTCCCACGTCTAGACCAGCGTTTTAGATGTTCTGACATGATAAGGTGACAGAAGATCCATTGCAATCTCACAAGGCCATTCATCAATGTGGAAGTGGTCATATCTGTTAAGCAAAATGGCCACATGTGGCCACTGATTGGAGAGCGTTAGCGTAGCTACTTCCTGTGTACAACGCAAAACCTATATCGATGTTTGTGAAACGTTTCTGTTAATCCTTAGACTGAAAAAGCAGCAAAACCATCATCATCATTCAGCGCTCATTAAGCGCAGATTGGGTGACCAATTTGCAGAACACCTCCGTTCGGTACGCAAGGTCAACCCTGATCTTCTAGTCTCCTGCCATTTCAACTCACACTCCCATTCACAGTCTGACCTCTCCATCCATGGTCTCCTACGCTGTTCCAGTGATCCACAGCGAAAGCTTGAGGATCAACATCTTATCTGCTAGGGACCCTTCAGCCCTCTGGCCTCAATAGCAATTTCAGCCACTTCAGACTGTAACAGCTCACCTTTCCCTCCCCACCCCATTTTGTAGCAAAATGTCAAAGCAATTTTGATATTTTTTTAAACAATGATTGTTCATTCTCAAAGTCAACATTTTAACTGGAGCCCAGATGGCACATTGTTCTTTTACTTGTCTAACCTGGGATAATATCAATCCAAAGCAAATAGTTTGTAAATCCTTTCTGCTAAAGGTTCAATGTGACACAGGTTTGAGCAACTGGGCGTAAATCTTAACTGCAACATCTGACAACAATAATAATAATTGACAATAACAATAGACAGATGTGGGATGTAGAAACATTGATAGTGATAAGCACAGGATGGTGGGGGCGTTGTGCGGGAGCACTAGGGGGGAAATGTTCAGAGGTTGAATTTAGGGCACAACATTGAGACAGCAAATGGAGATTTAGTCTAAATATTTTGGTGCTTTATCTAACCAGAGATCCTTGATGTGACACAATGGAAGATTTGGATTCTTCATTCCCAGCATCCTTCATATGTCACTTGTAGTAACATTTTCTCAGGGAAAATCCTAGGTACAATTTGCTTTTAAGACATTGTCATGACCATGCGAATGTCACTCATGTGATCTGCCTTGCACTATATAGAGCCTGTGAAGTGTTTTTTCTTTCCTGCCACAAAGACTTACTCATTCATTCTCACCGCACAAGCTTTACCTGTAAACCAACCAGTACCATTTCTCTTTACATTTTTCCGATAGTCATGCCCACATATGCCTTGTGTTCATTGCATCTTTTCATAATACTGCTGAACTTCTGAATTGCTTTCCATTCAAACATTAACATTGATTATAAATACATTCAGACCATCAAATCCCAAATCACTAATGGAGTCATACTTTCACAATTATAATGTCACAAACAGTCTTACATAAAAGCAACATGAATTCTTGAAATATTTATTCGCACATTTTAGCCCAGCATCTACTGAGCAGCTTCAAGCCATTACAGACAATATCTAGTGCCAGTACTTGCTGATTATCACCAACTGATCCCACATCCATCCCCCATCTCCTAATCAGAGCCACCCTTTAAACTGATGCTATTCACATCAAAATGAAATCTAAGATGGCAATAACGTTATTATGTAGAAACTCAACAATGCCAACTGGAGATAGCTTCCCATACTCATAGCTACTGATCCACGTTTCAGTTACTATTATCCATGATTGTGGATTGGAACAAGTTGGCTGCACTTTTGTGGTTCTCACTCTGCAATGACAGTGCCAACATCTTCACAAGAGGAAACATCCTATTCCAGACTTCAGTGTCAAAAGGGGTTTTAACAATTATTTGCTGCGACGGATACCAATGATAAATTATCCACTTTGTAACAGAAAAAAACGTAACATTGAATACAGTATGAACAGATTAAACAAAAATTCTAAAAATATATAAATTTGCCCTATATAAGTCTTTGTTTTGTTCAGATGCATAATTCTAAGATTACCCAGTGAGAGTTGAGGAAAAAAATGGTAAAGCCCTAGTTTTGCATTTTTAAAAGCAATCTAATTCCACTGCTGCAGTATAATACTGAAAACTGTGATAGCCTCAGAGTGCAGTTTTCAGCACCATCTACATTTTCCTTTGACATTTTATGGTGAATTTTGAGGCTGGCATGTGCAGGGAATAAGCAGAAAATGAGCCTAAATGTAAAAAAAAGATGATGTAATACTACACGTATCCATTTTAATCTGTATTATGGTGAATAGTTTTATTTCAATACTTGATGCAGCTTCAAAATTTACACAGAATAATTTGCATTTCAAGACGGTAAAGATTTTCGTTGATTGCTCTTCAATTCAGATTTGAGTCTCAGCATTACGCTTCCGCTCAGCAACAACAACTTGCATTTGTATAGCGCCCTTCACACAGGGTAGCAGCCCGGAGCTCAGTCTGATCACAGTCGTGAATGACATTTAGGATAAGATCCTGTTCATAGCTGAAGTGTCTCACACCGAGAAAGTATTAAATTGGCGCTTGAGATTATATTTAGTAAGTTAGGCCTGTCTATAATGAAAAGAAACTTTGGAACAAATTATGTCATAAACTGCACTATACACATACTTTGGTGAAATATTTCAAGGAGCACTGTTTTAAAACCTTATTTTCATTCTGCATATGTCCATTGAGAGAGTCTTAAAAAAAATCTGACTTTAGAAAATGTTCCTAAAACAAATATGAAACTTCAAACTTATAGAATGGCACAGATGCAGTTTTCCATACCCAATGGCCACATGACGCATGTGTCTATCTGGCAGGATGTTGATGTAACCATCACTGTGCATGTTTAACATTGTCAATGTAAAAGATCCAGATGCTTTTCTGGATCCAGTTGTAGGATTTTGCTGTACAGTCTATTTTGAACAAATAATTGCAGTATATTGATAGATCACAGTTCAGTTTAGTCAGATACTTAAATGTTTTTCATCACTCAATTACTTATTTTTTCTGAAAGCTGGTACATAAAGGCTAAATTCTGCTTATTACTCAGCTGCAATGGTATCAGCTAAAAAATAAAAAAGGTTAAAAAAAAAGTGAACAGAATAGCCACAAAGAATGCTTAGCATCTACATAATTCAAATGTACTTTTCAGTGGAAAAACCACAATGGTGAAGTCAGTTTTAACAGTGAATGTTCACAAAGTCTACCCTCCTGTTCACACACTTGGGTCAGTGAGATCCATATTAGTTCCAAAAAGGGCCACAAGCTGCTCTTCATAATTTGCAATGTTTCTCTTCATAATTTCCATACAAGGACCAAGCAATCGCTCAAAAGCTTGGACATCCATAACTGGAACAAAGAGAGAAAAGTTATAGACCAAATTACAAGTTAAAGGCCCTAACCCCAACTCTCACACCCCCACCCCCACCCTGAGTTCCACACCAACCCCAACCACCCACCCCAACCCTCACCCCAAACCTAATTGTCAGATGCCTAGCTATATCAATGGCTCGCTTGCTCTTCCCCATGACACATTAATGTTGTGGGACAGTGTAGGAGGAATAAAATAATTGCAATGATCTGAGTCTTGTGAAGGGCTGAGTGGGCACACATTACCAAAGAGTCAGATTCTACTTAAATACATGTATACAAGGCATTTGGAATAAGCTACAGGTGAGGAAAATATTTAATTTACTATACCTGTTTCAAGACATTTTACTCTACTGCTTACTTAACTAGGTTAGGCACAATTGTTACACTTATAAATCGTGTTTATTGAAAAGTAGCTGTATAAAAAGTTAACTAAGCTTTAACTTTGTAATATAATAATTCTTGTATTTGATAATTCATCTTTCACATCAGGAGGATGCCTCAAAAGCACTTCACAGTGTAAAGTGTAGTGACTGTATTTTGCAAGCAAACTAAGTTCCCTCACAGCAGTATCCCACAAACAGCCATGAAGTTTAAGACCAATTATATCTGGAATGTTGGCCAGGACACCAGGAAAACTCCCTTTTCTTTTTATCAAAGTGCAATTGGATCTTTAACCTCCACCTGAACAGGTAGATCTTGGTTTAACATCTTATCCAAAAAACAATGCATTGTTCCCTCAGCACTACACTGGAGTGTCAACTTAGAACCTGAACTTAAGGTAGCAATATTTAAACCCACAACCTTCTGATTGAAGAACGTGAGAATGACCAATTCGGCCAGGCTGAGACTTGTAGCAACAGAGGACAATAATTGCCGAGTCTGGCACAATGAGTCCTATTACTGAAAACTATTGAAATTTGATTGAAATACATTCTAGAAATTCATATCCTGTGAAACCATTTCTACTTAAAAAATAAATACAGTATACTATGATAATGATCCTTGCATTTGATCTATCGACTCATCAAGTCCTCGAGACAACAACAACTTGCACTTATATAGCGTCCTCCACCCAGGGTAACTTCTCAGAGCTCTTGAGACGTCTCGAAGCGCTTCACAGAATATTTATGGGCAAAACTATACCACATTGAAAGCCATTGTTCACAATCTAGTAGACTTTCAACATACATTTTGAAACTGGAATATTTACCTAAACATTTCACCTTTCCTACAGCATGTGCGGAAGCTGCACGCGGTTTATTTGTTACCAAAGCAAGTTCTCCAAAATATTGTCCTCTTGTACAGCGAGCTATTTCTATTCCATTCTCATCCATATAACGTTGTGTCTATGTTGAGGGAAACAAAGGGAAATAATTCTGAACATATCAGTTTCAGACTAAAAATAGTTTCTTAAATCAATTTTAAAGAACATTCACAATAAAATTACTTTAAAATTTATTTTAAGGGCTAATCAATGGAAGCCTTAAGATCTTGTTTCACTGAATTGAAATGTCAAGTCTCCAGTCATATAATGCAAGTGAATGGTCCGTCGGTGATGTTAGCCTAAGTGATGACTTGATCCTTGTACAAAATGTACTTTTGTTTTGGGAAGATTTGTATCTGGTTTTCCCTTTCTAATACTCTTTCAATGAGAACAGATTTAATTCCCTTTTCGCTTTTTCCAACATCACCTTCTCCAAGTCCTTTACATAACTTTGGTGAACATAATTCGACAATACTTTACTGGAGTTGCCAATAATGTTCTAGAAATTGTACATTAGGGATTTGTTTGATGACCAATGATCTATTAGTTTTTATTTCAGGACAACCCTCTAAGGTTGTCAATGTTCTTGAACTTTTATTGATGCCCTTTTTAAAACAAAATCATGAGGTTACTGATTGTCTTCTAGATTAATCTTTGGCACTACCACAAGCATAGTCTTATTTATTATTTCCAATTTTCACTTCATCTCTTATAGGGAAGAAAGCATGTGAGGTCCACAGAGAGCTCTGAACAGTGAGGCTGAGGCCAGCAAAGCTTCGGCAGGAAGATCTTGTCCAATTGTCTAACATTGTACACTGATGTGCACATCAAACATTGATGTTTGAATTACTTTGCATAACCTCATTCTTCGACATCGACGACGACGAATGGACGTCGACAGCGGCTTCTTTTTCTGAGGTAACTTGATAGTTATTGGTGTTGATTATGACATGGAGGGCGTGTAGCTCAGACACATACCTACAGATACACATAGACACACACACACATACAAACATAGAGACACACACATACATAGACACACACACATACATAGAGTCCTGCAGCTCAGAGGTTAGAGCACTTGCTTTGCAAGTGAAAGACCCGAGTTCAATTCCAGGCAGGGCGAAACCTTCGGCAAGTTTCCTTACTCCACACGCCTGATAATAATCCCTCCAAAAAACAAAAACAATAATAAATCGGTCATTTTCAATCCACGACTGTTTGTGGGACACTGCTGTGCGCAATTGGCTGCCGCGTTTCACCCACAAAGTATTCTGTGACTAGCTTTGAGACGTCGAGAAGATGTGAAAAGCACTATATCAAATGCAAGGATTATTATTATTATTATTATTCCCAATCCACCTTATTTATATTTTGTAAATATTTGCAATTTTAATACCTTTGCCAATTGGCACATGTATATCATGTATCTGTAAAGATTTTTGAATTTATTCCTTGCAGAGCCCACCTAGCAATAACTTAATAGCATTTATACTGCTGTTTATCTATCTTTTATCTGTGTATATATTAAATATTATATATACTCTAATAAAACAATGGCTGTCTGCGCTTCAAGAAGGATCTCAATAACCGATTGATGTAGAAACATGATGTATACCTCATCGGAAAGGTCTTGCAACTTGGAGTGACATGGGCATATTTGTTTTCAGGTATTTCCTATCGTTCATGAATTATTTACAGTTTTGTGTTTGTAGCTGCAGTTGCACTTGGTGGCCATTGAGTCCTCCCACTGGAATCCTCCCACTGGAGCTCTCCCACTGGAGCCCTCCCACTAGAATCCTCCCACTTGAGCCCTCCCACTGGAGTCCTCCCAGCTGAGTATAGATAAAGATGAACTGATTGTCTGTCTGTCAACCTACATTCCATATTGGATCCTTTGGTTGCAAACAAAGCTGCAATGGGTACAGCTAGTGCTCTATAAGCTATTTAAAATCACTTCCAGGAGTAAATCTAGTAAACATGTAGTTTTCACACATTAGCCAATTGTGAGAGAATATTTCCCGTGGTCAGCAATGAAAGGGATCATATTATGACAAAGACATAGATTTTTTTTCTTTCATGATTAGAATGTGTTATTCTCTGCCACAAACACTGTTGAATTTGAGTTAAAATAAATTGTTTTAAAAGGAAATTAAACAGATAGTTGAAGAACGTCATGGTTGTACATTTCTATGCAGTTGTTTTGCTCTTCATAGATTAAGAGACTACTTGGCAAATAATTCAAAATAATAATATAAATAATAATAACCTTTGCATTTGATATAATGTCTTAGCATGACTTTGAGACTCTTCTAAGTGCTTCACAGCATATACTATAAAATGAATTGACTGTATATTTTGTGGGTGAGAAGTAAATTAAATCTGAGTAGTGCCCATTGGCAAAGAATTCAATTGGGATGAGTGTCATATAGTGTAGGATTTTTTAAAATTACTTCTTTATTTAAAACTTTGGGAACAGCCGGAGTTTTTGTACAGTTACCTTGCTCTTCAAGGTGATCCGGACTTCTCCCGACTCTACGATATAAAAACAATCAGCTTGGTCTCCCTGAAGAAGGATGGAAAATCCTGTTAAATCTAACACTTGCATCAATACAGAGGTAAGTTAATATTAGAAAGAGTACAAAATTAATAATTTATTATGAACTTTATCTTGCTATTTAGAAACTTAGCACAAAATAATAATTCGCTGGTTTGGAGGGAGTTCCACTGGTTGTGTGTGAAACTAGACTAACAGTAATTTATGCAACAAAATAATCCCTGCTGAACCAATATGATACTTAAAACGTTGAATTATAGGCAGTCTTGTGTCCATCAGGTATTACATTGAGAATGTCCCAATGATTAGTTCATTTTATTGGAGCTTCACAAAGCTTATATCCTATATCAATAAGAGTTTTTGTGAATGGTTTCTCAATTCTAGGGAAGTACTATAAATACTGTACAGAGTGATATATCCTATCAAACATTACAAAAATCCCGAATTCAATCTTGTTACCATAATTAACCAGCAAATAATTTAAAAACAGTCAATAACCTTAAGGAATGCAAGTGGTGCATGGTTTGGATATTTGCTAATGAGAACAAGAAGAAGGAAAAAACACAATGAAGTTATAATACCTGAGAAATGATGCGTTCCCCATCTTTGTACATTTTGGTTTCAAATACATCAACTACTTTCATTCGTTCTGATAACTTGAGAAACAAATGGATTTAGGGTTAGGGCAGAGTATAGATTGCATTCCAACAATGTATCTATTTCCATGTGGAGGTGGGATGCATGGAATTCTCAGCTTGGTTTGGAGATGGGTTTCCGCACGTATCAGACACCAAAAAAAAATGCAGCGTGTTGGTCATAGAAATTTACACAAGTTTATAAACAAGATTTGGAATTTGGAGAAGTGGACAAACAACAACAACAACTTGCATTTATATAGCTTCCTTCATGGGGTAACGTTGGACGTATAAGCCAAGGCCAAAGACATGGACCTAGAAGGTTTCTCAATTACAGCATCCTTTGAGATTGTGTCCATTAATCTTCTACATTTTCCATTAAATCTGTGTGTGCATACATTATTAATACCTTGGGACGTCCTCCTGACGTGAAAGGTGCTATATAAATGTTGTTGCTGTTGTTATTAGTTGTATCAAAAGGAATACTAATTTAAAATAATGGCTGCACGTTATTATTTTTCAAATTATTTTTTAAAAAGTTGCGTTGTGGTTATGTATACACTCTATATACAAATTACAAAATGAATAAATGAGATTTACACCAGAATACTGTATTATTTCTGAAATTTAGCAGTACAGTGAATTATCTGCTAAAACAATTATTTGTAAATGATGAACTGCCAGAAATGAAAAATGTATTATACTTACTTCTAGAGATTTTAGAAGTGGTAGAGACTGAATAAATGCTTCGTACATTTTCCGCTTCTTAGCATTGTTTTTTTGAATGATTCTACGAAAGGTTACTCTGTCCTAGAAGAAAATAGCCAGTGAAAAATTTTGTCAGGTTTTTAATTTCTAATTTTTTTTAATCAAAATCTCAATTGAAAGTAACAGGTAAATGAGTTTAGTTTACTGTATGGTGATCTTACTGAATTCAATAGCCCTCCCTTCCTCCCAACTCCCAAACCAGGTATCTCCTCATGATCTTAAATCAGCCCCAAGGTAGTGTATCTGGGTTGATGAGCTCATACACGCTGTGAGCTTCCACAATATAGTACAAGGTAAAACTCAACCCTTGTTCTGAAATCCTGATCTAAAAGAATTTCGAGATAATAACAATAATTTACATTTATATTGTGCTTTCACATTAAATTTCCTACCAAGAATGTCAATTAGCTAAGGCAGAAGCTACACAGTTAGTGAACCAGGTGATGGACCTGATTAAACTGTGAATGTAGATTAGCCACAACATATGATGTGATGCAATCCTAGACCAGATTCTGATCAACTTTCAACACATGTTTCTGAACCCAGAGAGAATCTCACATGCAAGCCACAGATTGTACATACAAAGTTATAAATTGTATGAGAGAACAATCAGAAACATCTCAATAGTGAATGAAATGATACAACTTAAAGCAGATGCAGTTTCCAGACATACACATGTTGCACGGAGCTTTTTAACTTTTATTTTGTATGGATAAGCTAGGTGCGTCTTGATTATTGTTAAATATATAATACACATGGAAGAATATTGTTTCATGTTTTATGGGAACTATATAAAGTATTTATTTTATGGTCAGATATCTTACAACACCAACTTATATTTATATAGCACCCTTCACGCTTGGTAGCGTCTTAGCTTATTAATCTGTTGGTGGGAGTCACTTGGGGTTAAATTTACAATCTGATTGGGCCTCATCACCAAATGTTGGTGTTCTGTGAGAGGAACAGGCTTGTTTCCCACCCCATCCTTTCTTAGGTTCTTAACATCCAAATCAAGTATCAATTATGTTATGTTAAGTTGGCTAAGTGATCAGCTTGAGGTGGTATAGCTCCGGGACAATACCTTGCGTCAAGGGCGCTATATAAATGCAAGTTGTTGTTGTTATAGCCCTCAGGCCAGTTTTGCTTGATGCTAAAAGTAAAAGAACATTTGACTGAACTGAAACTTGTTGTGAAAGAGAACACGCAACTTAGTGTATACATGAGACACAAAATACAACCAACATTATTGTGCCTCTAGAGGAAAACTGTATGAAACTACCACCGATACTGAGAACAGAATTACAAGGACATCCTTCAGACCAAAGCCCCGATGTACCAGAATGGAGATGACCACATGACTGGACAGTTCCCAATATATAGATTTTTGTGTGTTACTTTTTCCTATTGTTATGTTTTGCAGATTAAAAACAATATAAAAAAGCAACTTTAAATAGTAGAACCATATTGAAATCGTTAAGATTGATAGTTACATAGATATATAGATATCGATAATGTATAATATAGATATTTGTTCTATTCCTGGTTTCTAGGCCTGGAAACAAGTATTTTCATACAGGAACAGTTTCATTGGTTAATAGTTAAAATCACAGAATAATATTTAAAATTGGCAATTATTTTGAATTGCCACCATTAGGTTTATATTGAAGTAAATTACCCATTATGCCCCCAGAAACAACCAAACAACAACAACTTGCACTTATATAGCGCCCTTCCACGCAGGGTAGCGTCTCAGCAAACAAAGTAAATAAATGTTTTCCTCACTTACCAGACCCCACAGTGCTCCACTACAAGTAGCAATAATAGTCGCTGCTCTGGGAGTATTATACATCAAGGCCAGTTCACCAAAGCTACCTCGATTATCATAAGCACCAACACACATTGCTCCACTTTTTGCATTCACATAGATGTCATATGTTCCTCTGTGAAATGCAAATACATTTGATTCACCTTAATAAAATAAGTATTTCTACAATTTGGAAGAAAAGGTACTCCAGAATAATGTAGTGAATAACTCAATTTATCAAAGTCATTCACATTTGATGGGATGACATAAAGTTTGTGGTCCTTGTGATATTTATCGCATCAAATGTCAGAGAAAGCTCCCCCCAGCCCCGGAACCCACTTCTCCACCAGTAACTCTAGCATTTCTAACCAACTTTACACTTTCTGATCTCAGTAAATGAACCAAATCTTTAAAAATATATAATTAGACCTGACTTGGCACCTATTTTATTTTAAATCCATATGGATTTTGTGCAAATTAAAATGAGGGATGGTGGGAAATTGAAAATGTTTCTCATTTTGGCACTTCCAATTCTCCCCATGAGCTAGCTGTCTGTCTGTATCTGCCTGTCTCCAAACCGAGTGAGAAATGGCTAGTTTCTGAGGATGCATGTGGTATCACATTTGACACAAGACTCTTTCAACCCCACAGTAAACTTTCCCAGGTCCCAGAAGTGAAAGAATTGAACCACAGTTTTATTTTTAAAACCAAATATTAAATATTATGTTTTATATTTTGCTCCTCATTCAAAACAAATTTACAAAGACTCTTACCTTTCAACAACATAGAAGTTATCACCATCATCTCCTTGGTCAATGACATGTTCACCAACTTTAACTAACTTTTCAAACATAGCATCCAATACTTGAAACATTTGTTCCTATATAAAAAAGGTTTCAATGAAAGATTAGTCATGTATTTCAACTATACATAGACATTATACATTATATAATAATAATCCTTGCATTTGATATGATGTTTTAACAAATCGTTCAAATGTCTCAAACAGCTTTGCACAATTTTATGCTGAAGTGTAGTTATTGTGTATTTGTAGACAAACGTGACAACAAAATTTCACACAGCAATATCCCATAAACAGCCTTAAAGTGAGTGATCAATTTTATTTGGGAGATTGTTAGTGAGGACACTGGGATAAACTTCATTCTCTTTTCAAATAGTGCCATGGGATCCAAAACATCCATCTGAAAAGGCAAACAGGACCTCGGTTTAACATCTCATCTGAAGGATGGCACTTTCAACAATGCAGCGCTTCCCCAGTACACAAGAACATAAGAATCACTAGACGAAACCAAACCAAGGGCCATCCAGTTTGCCTTCCACCTTCCTGGCAGTCTCATGACATGTCTTAGAACCAACAAGGAAACATTAGAACCAACAAGGGAACAAGCCATACTGGATTTGGTGATGAGTAATGAGCCAGAAATAGTTAACAATCTGATAGTAAGGGAACATCTTGCAAATAGTGATCATAATATGATTGAATTTGACATTGGATTTGAGAGGGAGAAGGGAAGAGATCCAAACCAGGGTTTTAAATTTAAGTAAGGCAAACTTCAATGGGATGAGGAATATATTGACTTCAGTAAACTGGGCTGAACCGTTAGTAGGTAAACCTGCAGATGAACAATGGGACGTTTTCAAAAATATATTTGATACAGAACAAGCACTTACCCTAAAATGCAAAAGCTCCAATCATGGAGTTAAGCAACCATGGTGGGCAAAAGAGGTTAGAGACTGTATTAAGCTGAAAGAAAAGGCTTACTCAAATGCAATAAAAAGTGGGAATACAGAGGACTGGGAGAATTACAAAAGGCAACAAAGGGAGACAAGGAAAGTAATAAGAGGAGCAAAAAGGGAGCATGAGAAACAACTTGCACGGGATATTAAAACCAAAGCAAAAGCTTCTATAAATATATTAAGAGAAAGAGAAATCGTTAAGGGGAATGTGAGCCTGTTAAAGACAGATGTAGGTGAGACTATAATGAAAAATAAGGAAATGGCTGACATGTTAAATAAATACTTTGCTACCATTTTTACAGTAAACGATGAGGACAAAATACTAGCCGTACAGGGGAACCTAAAAATAAGTCAAAGAGAAATGCTTAATAAAATTAATATAAATAAATAAATGGTAATGGAGAAAAAAAACACAAATAGTCTATAGAGAAATATAGACCTGATAGTTTCCACCCCAGGGTGTCAAAGGAAAAAGGAGAGGAAATTGCAGATGCATTCATCAAAATTTTCCCAAAGTCACTAGATTTGGGAATTGTGTCCTTAGGTTGGAAAATTGCGAATGTTACCCCTTTATTTATGAAAGGAGGGAGGGAGAAACCAGGAAACTAAAGACCTGTCAGCTTAACGGCAGTTGTAGGTAAAATACTAGAATCCATCATCAGAGACAGAGTGACTGAGCACTTGGACAGGTATGAGTTGGTCAAAGAGAGTCAGCATGAGTTTGTGAAGGGTAGGTCGTGTCTGACTAATCTAATTGAAGGTTTTGAGGAAGTCACTAAAATGTTGTTTAAATGGACTTTCCGAAGGCATCTGATAAGGTTCCACACAAAAGATTACTTGTGAAAATGGAAGTGCATGCAGTCGGAGCTAACCATGTGACGTGGCTTGGTAATTGGTTGGGAGGCAGGAAACAGAGAGTAGGGATAAATGGAATATTCTCTGATTGCCGGGAAGTGACAAGTGGTGTCCCCCAGGGGTCTGTACTGGGACCTCAGCTATTTGCCATATATATATATATATATATATATATATATATAAATTACTTGGATGAAGGAATAGAAAGTGTTATATCCAAGTTTGCAGACAACACTAAGCTCGGAGGCTCAGTAAGTTGTGTAGATGGGAGTAGGAAGTTACAAAGGGACTTATACAGATTAACAACAACAACAACAACAAAATTACATTTAGAGAACGCCTTTCACGTCGGGAGGATGTCCTAAAGTGCTGAACAGTCAGGTGTCGGGGTCCTAGCATGCGGGAGGGATGGTGTAGAGGTAAAGAAAGGCAGAGAGATGGGAGGGCGATCGAAGGCACGATCGAAGAGAAGGGTCTTGAGACCGGCCTTAAAGGAGGCAAGGGGAGAAGTGAGGCGAAGGGACCGTGGGATGGAGTTCCAGAGTGTAGTGTAGTGTGAGGTCATCCACTATGGACCGAAAAAAGATGAAGCAGAATATTTTCTTAATGGGGAGAAATTAAGAACTGTGGAGGAGCAAAGAGATTTGGGTGTCCATATGCACAAATCACTGTTCCCAGGTGAAAAACTTAATCAAAAAGGCAAATGGAATGTTGGCTTTATCTCAGGCCTGGAATACAAAGGGGAAAAAATACTGCTCCAGCATATAGAGCATTAGTCAGACCCCATCTGGAGACTGCGTTCAGTATTGGGCACCACACCTCAGGAAAGATATATTGGCCCTGGAGGGGGTGCAGTGCAGGTTCACCAGAATGTTACCAGGCCTAAAAGGGCTAAGTTATGAGGAAAATCTGTGTAAACTTGGATTGTATTCCCTTAAGAAGAGTTGAGAAGGTTGAGGGGTAATTTGATTGAGGGATTTAAGATGATAAAGGGATTTGATAGGGTAGATACAGAGAGGCTATTTTCCCTGGTGGGGAATCCAACACAAAGGGGAATAGTCTTAAAATTAGAACCAGGCCATTTAAGAGTGAAATCAGGAAGCATTTTTTCACTCAAAGGGGGGAAGAAATCTAGAATTCTCTCCCCCAAAAGGCCATGAATGCTGGATCCATCCACGAGTGAGGTTGATAGATTTTTGGTAGGTCAGAGTATTAAGGAATATGGGGAGAAAGCGGGAAATTTAAATTGAAAGAATTAGTTGAGGTACAGAACAGTCATTGATTAAATTAAATGGCGGAACAGGCTCGAAGAGCTGAATGGCCTCCTTCTGTTCCTATGTTCCTCGGTTCCTATTCTGTGTCCCAAACTATATATTATATCTCGAGATATTATTTCTGAACAGAAATCTATCTAATTTGATCTTTCTTGAATGAATCAAAACTTTCTGCTCTCACCTAGGGAGCCTGTTCCACACATTTACTACTTGAGTCACTGAATTAGTGTTTCCGCAGATTTGTTCTGAATTTACCCCCCTTCGATCGCAGGCCGTGTCCTCTGGTTCCACTGTTCAATACAAGATAAAACAGCGTATCATGGTCTACATTATCTAGTCCCTTTAGAATCAGCTAAGACTATATGATTTCCAAGTACTGATATGACTTGAACCCGCAAACTTCTGACTCAGAAGTGAGCCAGGCTGACACACCCTATGGGCATAGTCCAGGATCTTGCGTAGTTTGATTTATACATTGAAGAAGAAAGGTTGTTTTGGACTACAATTTGTTGGAATCTTTCTGAAGCTGCCACCCCCAAGTAAGGGGAGTGTTCTTTTGTATTCTGACTTGTATTCCTATATTTTCAAACACTTACATAGAATTTTCCCCGGCATGGTTCAGATGATTTGATTAAGCTTCGTGGCTGATTATCTACCCAAAGAGAGCTTGGATGTTAACAAAAGTCATTGAAAAATCAATTCTTATCAGAGTTGTTGCTATAGCTTTCCATTATCCATCTTAAGATACAGTGACTAAAATTGCTCTGCAACTTTGAGTAATTACTGATCTCATGTTAAAATATCATATTACAACAACAACAACTTGTATTTCTATAGCGCCCTTCATGCAGGTAGCATCCCAGGGTCTAAAATATTTCCTTTCCCAAGTCATGCCACGATCTCCAGAGACAGTGATGTTTTGTGGTGGGTTCTTTTCTCTGTGATGTCAGTGAGCAGTTGCCAGGATACACACTGGATGGAAATTAGTACTGACCAGTTCAGAGAAAAAAGCAGTTCTTTACACAACTAAATGTAGGATTCAGTTAATCAATATTTGTAAATGGTGTGCTGCCAGCCATCAATCCATTTATAATAGCCTAAGCATAAACTAGCTGTTTAACTTCCCTTTAGCTTTCTATACACATCATAGAAATGCATTACCCCAGTTTAACAAACATAAATTTGTTTAAAATTACAATTCCATTTCACTTCAAAAAAGGTAAATAGTTTGCAAAACTCTAAATGATGGAGCATTAGGAATAAATCCATGTGTGGATTACTCCATTTGTAGATTTCTGTGTGATAACTGAAAGTTGCAGAGCAATTTTATTCCATCTGTGACCAGGGCTCCTTCTACCTCCTTGTCCTCTCTGCTGCTTTCGATACCGTGGACCACTCCATCCTCCTCCACTGCCTCTCCTTTCACCTCAACCTTCAAGGTTCTGTCCTTGAATGGTTCAGGTCTTATCTCTCACACAGTTTCCAATTCGTCTCCACCAACAGTTTCTCTTCCAGCCCCCGCACAGTCTTGTGCAGTGTTCCTCAAGGCTCTGTCCTCGGTCCCCTCCTCTTTAACCTCTACATGCTCCCCATTGGTGACATCATCCGCAGACATGGGGTCAACTTCCACATGTACGCGGATGACACCCAACTCTATCTCTCTGCTTCCACCCTCGATTCCAGGACAACTGACGTATTGACAGACATCAAGTCCTGGATGAGAGCCAACTTTCTACAGCTGAATGTCAGCAAGACCGAAGCCTTCCAGGTTCACTCGTGCCAGCGCCTCTGCACCTCAGGCACTGGCAGCATCAGCATCCTCAGATGCACATTCATCAAGCTATTCTGGAACCTGGGCATCTTGTTCAACCCTCAACTCTCTTTTCTTCCCCCATATCCATACCATGGCCCATTCTGCCTTTCCCCACCTCCGTATTATTGCCCAACTCTGCCACTGCCTCACCCTTCAGGCCACCATAACCCTCATGCACACATTCGTCACCTCAAGGCTCGACCACGGTAACTTTCTCCTTGTCGGCCTCCCCAACTCTTCCCTCTACAACCTGCAGATCATCCAGAACTCTGCAGTTTGTGTCCTCTCCCGCATCACCCCCACCCTCGCCCGGGTCCACTGGCTCCCCATCCCTCAGAGGTTAGAATTCAAAATCCTCATCCTCACTTTCAAGTCCCTCCACAGACTTGCCCCCTCCTACCTCTCTGACCTGCTAACCCCTATCAACCTGTCTGTTCCTTCCGCTCAGCAGGCTCTGGCCTGCTCCATGTTTCCCACCCGACCTGCCCTACCATCGGCAGTCTGGCTTTCAGCCTCTCTGCCTCCACTCTTTGGAACTCCATCCCACAATCCCTTTACCTCGCTCCCTCGCCTCCTTCAAGGCACAACTCAAGATGCTTCTTTTCAACCGTGCCTTCAGCCGCCCTCCTACCCTCTCTGCCCTCCCTCATCCCAACCCTGCCCCCCTCCCCACGCTCGGGTCCTGATCCCCGACTGTTCAGCGCCTTGGGAAGTCCTCCAGATGTGAAAGGTGCTTTACAAATATAATTCTGTTGTTGTAAATATGTCACAATTCAAGGTTCTGCTTCTCTTTGATCAAACACAGGTTTACTTCCCAGTCATATCTTACACAAACTAGTCAAATGCCATTATTCAATGAGATAATACAAAAAGGCAATCACAGTTTTTCATTGTATATTATTAGTCACTTAAGTTAGAGTGAACCATTGAGGAAAGTCTTCCTTTTCAATTTCCAACCAACATTGGGGCCAGAATAGTCCATTCTCTAAAAATGACATTTTTGAACAAATAAATCCTTAAACCTTTCTAATTAGTTTGCGTTTTTAATGGATACTGAAGATCAGACTAAAACTCATTATTTTTTAAAAAAAGTTAATCATATTTAACCTCTTTGGTATTGATCTATAGTTTTCTTACATACTGCATGTTAACATTTGCAGTCTCGAGCTTGACGTTGCATAATGTATTTTTAATCTGACATACCAATGAAACCAATGAAATTATCAACATCTGTACCTTCAGGCTGTTAGGGTGACCTTGTGAGAGTTTAGTGATACTGTTCTGTCAATATGATTACACAGCACATGGCTGATAGAGTGGAAGGTCACTATATGCTATGAGCAATAATAATATCTGTCCACACTTGTTATGCAGAATCTATAAACAGTGTACGCTTGGAAGGAAGGGCGCTACCCTGGGGGGTGCTGTATAAATGCAAGTTGTTGATGTTATTGTTGTTCTTAAGTGTATAAAATACCACCTAGTTCCATGTAGTCCTTGGTTAGGCAGCTCCCTTGGTTAAAGTGCTCTGAGACACTACCCTGCGTGGAGGGCGCTACATAAGTGCAAGTTGTTGCTGTTGTTGTTCTTGCTGCAAATCTTATCTCAGATATTTGATTTTATTTGCTACAAGACCATTACATCATTCAACCAGTTTTAAAATAAAATCCTCAACAACATACCTTCTAACAGAAAATCAATGAATGTAATCAATCCTATTTGCGATATGGAATTAAAGGAGAAAAAGTTCAGGGGAAAGTGCTTTCTGTTCAAATTACTTCTTCCAACTACATTGTTTTTTTAATATAAACTAATCAGAGGGTCCAGCAAGCTGGTTAAGGGACAAGTGCTAGGAATGCGTTAAACCAGATCGTGGCCTATTTCTGATATTTCAGATTTTTTTAAAAAAGCTACACAATTCTACTGTGAATCAGTAATCAAAAAGCTTGACAAATAAAACGTGAAAAGCACTTGAGCTTCATTTAGAATACAATACATTACAATTTACATTAGTGTAATGTGTTTATGTCAAGAAGACTTCACAAAGTATTTCACACTGAGATTGGGACCCAAGATTGGAGAAATGGGAGCCAAGGAGGGTGGGGAGGAAAAGATGACAGAAATCACAGTCACAAGTGTTTCTCAGACTTTGAATGTGAGAGGGAGAGAGCAAACAATGTGGAAATCAAAACATAAAACAATATGGATTTCATTCATTTTCTCTTCTCAAAATCCGAACTTACCTGGTCTAAATTTTTGAAAAGAAGAATGTCTTTACATGCCTCTTGCAGTCGTCTTCGCTGCTCATCAGTTTTGGGGCAAATTATCTGAAAGAAAACAAGAGAAAAGTTTACAAGAAGATCATTTAAAACTTTGAGCCCTGATAGAATATGATGTTGATTCACACTGTCTATCATAGTCCTACACCCCTCCTTACTGTCATCAACTTTATGACTCTGGTAGCAGATGAACATGAAATAAGCAAAAACAACAAGAACAACTTGCACTTATATAGTGCCCTCCATGCAGGGTAGCGTCTCAGAGCGCTTAACAGTGGCGGAGCCTGACTCTGAACTGGGGGGAGGGTGGGAGGTGGCTGAAAGCACGGTCGAAGAGGAATGTTTTCAGGTGGGATTTGAAAGAGGTGAGAGGGGGCAAGGCAGAGGGATTGAGGGAGAGCGTTCCTAAGCGTAGTGGCTTAAAGCGCAACCTCCGATGGTGGGCAGAGGGTGTAAGGGATGACCAGAAGGCATCAGGTAGTGGATTGGGGAGTGAGGAGGTCGGAGAGGTAGGGAGGTGCCAGAGAGTGAATGGATTTGAACACAAGTGTGAGGATCTCGTGTTTAAGAACTAACAAATTTTTGAGAAAGTTAACAAAAGCAGATTAGTATATGGAAAGTGGCCGTCCATAGTTATACAAGGAATTCTAGAAACCTACACACAGAAATCTAAACCCAACACTGTGCTAAGATAGTATCTGAGACAAGCAAGTATGCAAGACAAATGGTGATTCTTGTTCAAATATGCCACAATATCAAAAATGTACAGTGTATTTTCATCTGGTATATTTTGCTTTAAGCAGGGGTGAGCAAAATAACTTCACGAATTTTGGTAAGCTTCGCGGGCCACACACTTAATATAGATGCAAATGCTTAACAATAGCTCAAAATCAAGTCTTACACATAGATGCATAAAATAAAGTCTATATAATTGACATTCATTAAAATTAGGTTAAAATAAAAGCAACTCATTGAGCAGACATTTATTCAATATTTATTCATTTATTCACATATTGAAGCTCATTCAATGAGAAGAATGAAAGTGCTGCTGTGCATTAACCAGACAATTAAAGTCAGGCATCGTCTCCGTTGTTGCAATGCGGAGTACTGCTGCAAGGTGGTAATCAGACATCACAGATCTATGTTTTGATTTATTGAATTTCATCACAGAAAATGTCTCCTCGCATATGTATGTTGATCCAAACAGCACAAGCATTCTCCGGGCATGAGCCTTTATTTTTGGAAAGGTATATTCATTAAGAGAGGTGTAAAAACTGGGAAGCGGCACTGATTTGAATTACTCCACAAGCAATGAATCACATTGCAGGTCAAAAAGCTCAAGTTGGAAGTCAAATGGGGCTTTGTCAACATCAAATGAGAAAGGTGAAGGGACCAAAGGCAGGTCACTTTCGATCAAATTAAAATCCTGGAATCAGCGAGAAAATTCGGCATGTAAGTTAAGTAGTGACAAAGTATACTTTTTAAGGCTTTGATCGCAAACAGTAATCTGCTGCAAAGTTGGAAAGTGGGCGAATAGCCTGTTTCCTATCTGACGTGATAAAATAACTTTGTCATAAATGACTTGACACTGCAATGCAAATCAGGAACAAAGGCCCCTTTCCGTTGCAGTTTTGAATTCAGTTCATTCATGTGGCCCATGATATTAACGGCAAATGTGAAATCAGAGAGCCAATTCGCATCATCCAGCTGTGGGAAATCCAAATCTTTTTGTTTCATGTCCAAAAATCAATCTCTGTTCTCAGTTCCCACACTCTTTTCAAGACCTTTCCTAAACTAAGCCATCTTACATTCGTGTGACACAGAACATCTGTGTGCTCGGATTCCAATTCCTCAAGCAGCATTACCGATCGCCTGTGGTTTAATCCTCTTGCTCAAATGAAGTTGACCACTTTTGTATCTGTGTCCACGACATTGTTTAGTTTTAGAACACTCTTACAAAGGACCTCTTGTTGGATAATGCAGTGTAGAAAAATAATATTCTCTTCTGGATTTGTTTCTTTGACTTGATCTTGAATTCTTTTCAGTAACCCAACATTTTTGCCCGTCAGATTTGGGCTTCCATCTGTGGTCACGTTCACCAATTTTTTCCACTCCACTCCTAATTTTAAGATACACTTATTTATTGCCTCCAAAAAGTCTTCTCCAGTTGTTGTATCTTTCATTGATTGCATTGATGCCAATTCTTCTGTGAGCTCAAAATGTTTGGTGACCTCGAATAAAAATTATCAACTGGGCTGTGTCTTTGACATCACAACTCTCATCGCGTGCCAGTGAAAAACATGCAAAATTGCTTATTTTATTTTGTAACTGCAGATACAGGTTCTCAGAGATATCCTCGACACGTCTCACAATAGTTCGCCTTGACAAGCTAATGTTCTCGAACTGTTTTTTCTTGTCTGGGCATAAAATCGAGGCAGAGTCAACCATACATTCCTTTATAAATTCTCCTTCAGAGAATGGTTTGCTGTTCTTGGAGATTTTGTGTGCAATCACGTTACTCACTCGTGTAATCTCATCCTGGGATGCAAATTGTCTTGTGAAAATGCTTTGCTCTTTTTGCATTTGAACAACCATCTCATCAGCTTTCTTTCCTTTTTCTTCAGCAAAAATGTTCTTATATTTGCAAGCATGTTTGCTCTCAAAATGACGATTCAAGTTGTAGTCTTTGAGGACTGCAACACTTTGTTCGCAAATTAAGCACAGCTTTTCCACTCACACTGGTAAAAAAAAAAATTTAGAAGTCCATTCTTTGTTGAATATTTGGCCTTTAGCGTCCACTTTCCGCTTCTTTGATAAACTTATTTTGAATTAACGTCGTCTTCAGTGAAAAGTATTGCCGCAGTTGCTGTGCGCGTGTTTGAAAATTTACCGATCTGTACATTTCTGACGTCAGCCTGATTCAGCACTTAAGGGAGCGTGCACACAACTAAGCCGGCTGATGTTCCCGGTCAGATTCAAATGCCAAATTTGTGTGACTTCCTGAGACTGAACGAACTATAATTTTTTCTATTGCTAGACACAATGACGGGCCGGAGAGAATCATTTGGCGCCCGGATATGGCCAGTGGGACATATTTTGCCCACCCCCGCTCTAAAGGAACAAGCAGAGTTTGGTGTGGATGATGATGTGGGCAGCAGGGTTTGGGCTTAGTCGCACAAGCTATTTAATGAGTTTCTTACCCGAGGTTCTGTGTCTTCTTCTTCCTCATCAGGATTGTAAGGTTCTGCACAAACTAAAACAAGAAGCAATATTAACATCCCTGCAAGGGTTGAATCTGAGATTAGTTCCTACCCAAATAATATTCTTAAATGCGAATGGGACTGCTTTGTAAATTGATTAACCCTCAATAGTACTAAAGATCTACAGAGATATCAATCTGTGCCCCCACCACACACACACATACAGTAATAAAAGTAATATTAAACATAATCCATTAAAATACAAAATCAGTTAGTCAAATATTTAATTTACTGGCCCCATTTCTTTTTAGCTCAATTTACTCTTAATCTATTCAATTTACTCTTATCCATTCTCTTTGGTTAAGTTGATTTTAACCATTTAAAATCCATTCCATCTCTTCTACCTTCAAACCAGCATAGACCTTTCTTCCTTCTCTCACCAATGTGTGAATGTTTGAAGTCAGAGTCATTTTTATTTTGAATTGTATTGGCTCAAAACTAACCTTGTAGGCCACTTTTTGCAGCCAATCAAAACTAAAAATATCAAATACAGACAGAAGCAACCACAGCAATGACCAGTGTGAGATTGTGAGGGAATTACAATCAGTGTTACCAGGGAATCGTTGACACTTGGTGTAATTTGAAATCACCTGTTCTCTAGGGATCAAAAATCAGGATGTTCTTCTTTCATAAAGGATGTGAGTGAATGATCGGATTTGATACAGCGCGGAAATAAAGCAACATAGCAGATTGTAAAAAATCACTACTTAAAAAGCTCCAGAAAGTGGTTACTTAGTGTTCAAAGTCACCTCTTCTTCTTCAACTTGCACTTACTTATATAAGTCACAGCACATTATGGGCCAATTCCAAACTCTTTACATAAAAGTGCCACTTAAAGGCCAGATCTTTTTAACAAAAACATTATATGCAAAATAAATTTCACAGAACCAAGTACTGGGATCATCTGATATTCTTGGCAGTCAATTGTTCAATTAACAGTTTAGTTGGAGTGCAGGAGTGCAACATTTTCAAAACTAAGGCATTTTAACATAACTCAGGAAAATGATAAGGGCTCATATTGCCTCCTGTAAGTGCATCTCAACTAAGCAACTGTACACCAGTATCAACAGCATCTGTGAGCAATATTGTCCAGATCACTCTTCACAACTGAAGACAAAAGCACCAAGCTCACAGGATAACGATTTTTTTTAAAATGTCAAAACGGTAAACAGCTCAGTGATGGAAAGAAAAGGCAAACATCAGGCTCTCCTTGCACCGGATAAATACTAACAATAATAATAACTCAATGAATCACACACAAACAATTGAAAATAACGCAATTGCTTTATCTTTTCTAAAAAACGCTCAACGTTTTTAAACTTTCTCTAAAGGTTATGGGAATCTCTTTTAGTAAATAAACCTTTCTCATTAACCATTTATTTTCAATTGAAGACAGTCTTCAGTGTATCTGTAAAGATGGTTTTAAAATCAAACTAGAAACAATAGGCAAAAAAGAGCAAAAGAAACTGAGGATGACCCACAGTGAAAGAACGAGGCAAGTGATCATACTTTGTTCCTCATTCATTCAGCCTCCGTCAGGTCACTAATGTGGAGCCAGTGTAACAGTGTAACAGACAGGATTTTATTTGAAGCTCTGCTCAATGAACAATAGAGTTGAGAATAGGATAGTTACATAATAAATAATAATCCTTACACTTATTAGTTGTTCAAATATATTTTGAAAAGACAAGATGAATGTTATCTTACAGATACATTTGGAGAAACTCTGACCTGTATGTAGCAAAAGTTAGCTGGTCAATCCAACTTAATAATGGGAAGAAAACAGAATTCAATTACACATTTTACTGCCAAATATACCAAGTAATCGTTCGGATTTATGCAAATTTTCTTTCTTATTGCAAAAGGGATTAAGGGATATGGGGATAAGGCAGGTCAGGTTATTAGCTGGAGTTAGATTAGAAGATCAGCCATGATTGAATGGCGGGGCAGGCTTGAAGGGCCGAATGGCCTACTCCTGCTCCTACGTGTTATGCTATGTTAAATCTTTAGTCCCACTGTATGTCAAAATTCTATTCTCTGTCATTTAAATGTTAATTATGTTGTATCTCATTTTAAACTTTGAGGTTGTCAAAAATAGAAATTACCCCCCAAAATTCAAGACTGAGATTGATAGATTTCTAAAGGATAGAGGGATTAAGGGATATGGGGATAAGGCTGGCAGATGGAGTTAGGTTAGAAGATCAGACATGATCTTAATGAATGGCAGGGCAGGCTCGAGCGGCCAAATGGCCTACTCCTGCTCCTAATTCCTATGTTCTTGTGTACCTAAATTAAATGTATTACACATTAAATGAATTAGGAGTCTAAAGTTCAGCAATCTATTCATAGCATTTGCTCAATGAATCATATGAAATAATTTCAGCATTTATTTTGGAGGATCTTTTATCATATATAGCATATATTATCTCGCAAAGTCACAATATACAGTCCAGCACTGCTAATGAACACATCAGAGATCAAATGCAAAAGTAAAGTTGGGCTGTGTTGACAATAATGTTTATTATTAGTATTATTAGTAGTAGTAGTTTTCAGACCAGCACACTGAGAGGCAGACAGACAGCCACACAAACACTCTATTTTGTAGTTGGTTTTCTGTAAATCCTTTTAACTAGTTAATACAATTAAACTGTTGCCTAACAAGGGAAAATATTGCTGTTTATTTTGTCCAGCCCTTTCATAATTCTAAACATAAATATAAGATAGCTGGAGAGAACATGGAGCTGTGGTTGAAACAAAAAATCAAGGTATTTATTGTATTTAAGAGTAAACAATGCATAAACAAGAGAGAAGGGAATAGAAGAGGAATCGAGGGACAGAGTATAAACACCTGCGTGGACTAGTTTCCTCCACTGCTACCATCCCTCTAATCAATATTTTAACACATTGTGCCCTAATTTTCTCAACAAATCTTTCTTAGTAAATTTGTTCTTAAGATACACACACACACAAACTGTATTGCCTTTTAATCTGTGCACTTTGTGGATTTCCTCAAATAAATTAAATTAGTTGTACATGCTTTGTCCTTTAGAAACTCTCTCGGATCAATTTGTGCCTTTTGAAGTTACTGACAGTTATATCGACTTAAATGGCTAAGTGACAGGATTGCTAAAACAAAACTTTAAAAAATATAAGCAATGTCACCCATTCGACAGCAGAGGGAGAAGGTGCTGCTCAAACTATTGCTAATTTCAACACAGTCAACAACTGCACAAGTTGAATTACTGTAGATACAGGAGAAACAAACAGAACCTTTAATCTATGATATTTAGTCGTGACCTATTTAATTAATCTGATAAATAAGGCAGTCTGAATGCACCCTCATTCCAAATATTGGCCTATGATAAACATGACATTACTAGGTAAAAGAACCTTAATAACAAAACAAACAAATTGCATTTATTTAGCGTCTTTCACGGCAGGAGGATGTCTCAAAGTGCTGGGCAGACAGGGATTGCACCCAAGCTGGTGGTTGGGATCAGGATGGTGGGGAGGGTCTGGGTAGGAGGGTGACCGAAGGCATGGTCGATCGAAAAGGAGGATCTTGAAACGGGTTTTGAAGGAGGCAAGGGAGGGGTTGTGATGGAGGGACTGTGGGATGGAGTTCCAGAGGGTGGGGGTAGAGTGGCGGAAGGCCTAACAGCTAATGGTGGAGCAGGCGAGGTTGGAGGACCTGAAACAGACCGGAGCTCACTGAGCGGAGAGAGTGGTCAGGAGGTAACAGAGGTAGGGAGAAGCAAGGCCATGCAGGGTTTAGAAGGTGAGGACCAAGACCTTAAACTGTATCGTCTGAGTGATGGGAAACCAGTGGAGCCGGGCAAGGATGGGGGTGAAAGGGTCGTGAAACCCGGTGCGGGAGTTTACACAGGCTGCAGAAATCTACAACTCACCTCAACCTTCACGGCTCTGTCCTTGACTGGTTCAGATTGTACCTCTCACACCGTCTCCACTTCATCTCCACAAACGGTTTCTCCTCTAGTCCCCGTATCGTCTCGGGTGGCGTTCCTCAGCGCTCTGTCCTTGGTCCCCTCCTCTTCAATATCTATTATGCTCCCTTTTGGTGACATCATCCACAGACAAGGGGTCAACTTCCACCTGTACCTCTCTGCCTCCACCTTTGACTCCAGGATCTCTGCTGTCCTGACGGAATGTCTGTCAGACATGAAGTCCTGGATGGGAGCTAACTTTCTTCAGTTGAACGTCAACAAGACCGGAGCTCTCCTGATTGGTTCCCGTCAGCGCCTCCTCACCTCAGGCGCTGACAGCATCACCATCCACGGTTACACACTCCACCTTGCTAAGCCAGTCTGGAACCTTGGGGTCTTGTTTGACCCTCAACTATCCTTTCTAACCAACATCTTCGCCATGACCTGCTCTGCCTTCCCCCACCTCCGCAAAATTGTCCAACTCCGCCACTGCCTCACACCACAGACCGCCGAAACCCTCATACGTGCTTTCATCACATCGAGGCTTGACTATGCAAACTCCCTGCTTGTTGGCTAACCAACTCCTCCCTCCATGGTCTGCAGATCATCCAGAACTCTGCAGCCCATGTCCTCTCCCGCACGAGGCTCCGCGACCCAATCACTCCCATCTTTGCCCGACTCCACTGGCTTTCCATCACACAGAGGATACAATTCAAGATTCTGATCTTCACCTTCAAAGCCCTCCATGGGTCTTGCTCTCCACTACCTCTTCGACCTCCTAACCCCCTATCATTCTGCTCGCTCACTCCGCTCCAGCCTGCTTCATGTCCCCCGCCCCACTATTGGCAGGCGGGCCTTCTGCCACCGTGCCCCCACCCTCTGAAACTCCAACCTGCAGTCCCTCCACCTTGCCCCCTCCCTTGCCACCTTCAACCCATCTCAAGACCCTCCTCTTCAATCATGCTTTCGATCTCCCTGCTTCCCCCCCTGTCCACCCTCTCCAACCCTGACCCCCATCTCTGGTCTGAAACTCTGTCTGTCCAGTGCCT